GTCCAAAACATTGGCTTCCCTTTACTCAGATCTGTACAAGTGGATCTGATCTGTATGCTTAGCTAAATATATTTTGTTGGACTAAAGATACTTGCATATGAAATAAACTATTTTTCTCGTTGTCATGAAGTGCATTTTGCACCGTCCTCCATTTTAAACTTTTAGATATTTCTAGTTTTTCATGATTCATCAGACAACACATTTCTATCTCTCTGTGGTCATGATAAACAGTGATGTTCTTAAAATTTTTTAAACTGAACCACAGAGATGAAGCACAGTACGGTAATCCCTAAAATTTTAGGCTTAGCCTGAGTTTTCAGTCTTTCTAGTTTATTCACTGAAAAAAATCCCAGGGTTTAAAAATGCAACATTGTCACTGACACAGTGCTGTTAACCGGATTTATAACGTTGTGTTTGTTGGTCTGACTGTTACCAAATCACAGAGCACTGGGAGGATGTATTTTCATCAGATTTGGGTAGGATGTCTGAGCTGGTCTGACGTGACGTATGGTCTGAGTGGGGATGTGATAATAATTCCTTGGGCTCTCACTAACTGCTGGTACAGGTGCTTTATGTGCCGTTAACTCACGCATTCCTTACGGCCCGATGAGGCAGGTACAGCTCTGATCCCCACTAGACAGATGGGAACATTGAGGCATGGACACTTCATGGTTGTGACCCACACCGTCACACTGGGCCCTTGCTTAGAGGGGCCCACTCTGGGTTTCATGCTCTGTTGTTGTCACATCATCTTGAAATTCTTTATTCTGGAGCCCAGGGCCCCTGTTCTTCATTTCGCTCTGGGCCTGGCAAACAGCAGAGCCAGTGCTGGAGTTTAAAACCAAGTTCAGGTGAGAGAGGCAGGCTGAGGCCCAGGTGGCCTGCTGCTGGATGCACCCTCCTCACCCTTGCTGGCCCGCCTCCCAGGGGAGGCTCTCGTCCAGGAGAGGCTGCCCGGCTGCCCCAGCAGTCAGTGTCTCCCCCTCAGTTCCACGTCCACACGCGCAGTTCCCTGAGAGGCACGGGAGGCCGCAGCCGTGGGGACTGAAGACTTAGGGATGGCTAAGGCCTCTTGGGAGGAACCAGCTGGTAGCTGACGGGTTATTTTCAAGAGGAAAATGGAAAGGGCAGCGCCTGGCAGCATCCTTGTGGACTCGAGTCCTCCCACTGGCAGGGCACGGCTGCCCAGAGACGGGGCCCTCTGAGTCTCTGTATTTTGAGCCCTTTATGAGTATAAAACTATTGCTGTTCTTTTCTGAAGGATGCCCAAGGAAACAACGCATAAGGAGAAAAATAAATATAATTACCTGTTCACGTATTTCCTGAGTGATTCCTAGAATTGGGGCAATGCTCCTGAGGTTAAATGTGGGAATAATTTCCTTTTCAAGAGTGAACTCGGGAAGGAGGGTGTAGCTCAGTGGCAGTGTGCTTCGTGTGCACGAGGTCCCGAGTTCAATCCCCAGCACCTCCATGTAAAATACATAAATAAATAAAATAAGTAAATAAATACACCTAATTATCCCCTCCCCAAACAAACAACAAACAGAAAGAGTACTTTAAAAAAAAAGTGAATTCAACAACAGCAGTAACCCAGCCCGAGCTCCTCCTCCTCCTCGGCCCTCATTTGTCTCAGTTCTCTGTCCCGGACACCGTCCCAGACGCCAGACCGAGGACAGGAAAAGTTTGGGAGAAGAAACCAAGCTGCCCCTTGACACCCCAGATGCTGGGAGCGAATTCCTCTTCGTTCAGCTCTAGATCATTCTTCTGCTGGTAAAACCTAAAATGCTGCATGTGTCCTCGGGTCCTCGGGTCCTCAGAGTCCGTCCTGTTTGAGCCGCCCTGTCCTCCCGGCCCCTCCCGAGCCTGATCTGAGAAGCCTTCACCAGCAGCCGGAGAGCAGGCGCCGTAATCCTCTGACGAGCGGCCGATAATGGTTAGGGCAGGCAGAGAGGGGAGGAAAGGTTCTGAGCTCTGGGGATGATGAAGCTTTTAAAAAAAAATCTTGTAAATAATGATTGTTTAAAAAAACAACTTTAAACACTCTTCAGGACACTAGAGGAGAACAGTGCTAATCAAAACTTAATTTTCAAGCTGCATTCTTTTGAGGAGAGTTATAAGCAAAACAAAACACTAAGACTAAGCCACAGTTTCCAAAACCTAGGCACTAAAAAGGCCTTGGCCAAGGCCTCAGATAAATAAGCTCGTAACCTCGAGAAGCTTTTGAACGGTATTTACAACCACACTGCGTGCTTTTGTGATCCTGTCCACTTCCTTTATTGGCTTTGCTTTGCTTCCATAAAGACTTCACTGCTGTATTTAAACGCTTCTTCTGATGACTGCTTCTAGTTTTAATTATTGCTCTTCTTGAAAAACTCACCTTCAGCTGAAACAGGGACATGGGGACTCTGGCTCGAAGACGCAGGGACCTCTGAAGGCAAGGGTGTGAGTTTGTTTGAAAGTTACCACACAGACGACCCAGATTCTCGCCCTCACAAGAAGAAAAGTCTGCTTTTTGAATATTTGCACGGGGGTACAAGTTCTGAAAACAGAGATTAAGTAAAAGACTATACAGACTGGTGACCCCCACCAGTCTCTGTCCCCCTGCTCGGCTCCCAAAATGTTGGCACTGGGCGGCCCCCCTGTTCACCCACCCAAGCAGGAAAATGGATTTGTCTTGAGAGGAAAGACCCGCAGAAATCGAAACTTTGGCTTGCCACTGGTACTTCTCAACAGGGAAGCCCACCAGTCAATGGTTCCCACCCACACGTGCAGCCCCCACCCAGCCCTTCAGAACATCGCTATTAAATAAGCATCCAAAGAAAATCAGGCATTTGAGGGAAACTTCTATTGTGAAAGACAGAGACCAAAGAAATAGAAAAAAGGAACTTGGAGGAAGCATTTAAAGGGAATAAAAGGTACTACAACCATGAAATAAGAACAGGATGCTATAAAGGGGGGTGCAGAGGGAGGAGTATTCTATGATCAAGAGATCTAGGAATATAAAGCTATGCAAACATATGCATAGAGATGCACACACACCTGCACTGGAAGGTGAAAGTTGAGCACATCTCCCAGAATGTAGACAGAAGGCCAACATAAATATTTATTGTGAAAAAGAGAAAATGAGGGTATCAGTTCAGGAGGTTCATCTGCTAAATACCTGGAGTCCAGAGAGGAAGAACCAAGAAGACAGAAGAGAAAAGATTATCGCCTGTCCGTGAAGGGCCTGGTTCCAGACTGACGCCCAGCACAAAATGAAACAAAACAAACAAAAGGGAAAAAAAAAAGACTTACACCAAGACGCAGCATCATGAAGTTTCAAAACATCAGGGAGAAAGACATGATCTTAAAATTAAAAAATAAATAAATAAATAAAAGACAAGAATTGTGAGTCACGATGGCGTCAGACTTCAGAACAGCAGAAGCTACAAGGCAGTGTGGTGATACTTTCAAAATGGAGGGGAAATGATTTCAAAACTGGTAATTTGGCAGGGTATCAAATTGAAAGCCATTATCAGATATGCAAGTTCTCAAGAAATTACCTACCCACATACCTTTCCTCAGGGAGATACTGGGGCATCTGTTCCTTCTCGATGAGGATGTAAATTAAGACCCGGGCATCAGGAGTAATGCCCAAGCTGCTGGGGAAGGGAAGTAGCCGTGGGACCACCGTGTGGAGTGTCCAGTTTTCGCCTGGAACCTGGAAAGCCTGGGAAGATGTCTCCAAGAAAAAAACAAAACCCACAGATCCCCTCATGCGTCTGATCGTACTGGTCGCCTGAGGTTATGCAGCGCTGTCCTGTTGGCGGGTGGGTGTGACTAAATTTCCCTGTCTGCTAATTATCCAGAACTCATTTTATAAGGATCATTTTTATCCTGTTTTCAAACTGAAGGTGATTCAAGGTATGTTAGTCAACACTAAAATAGCTAAAAATGCTTTGTACTTTAAAATATATGTGTTGAAAGCATTTAGGCAAAAACCTTTTTTTTCCCAACAAGTAAATTTCATAGTGGTTTTCTTTTTTTTCTTTTTTCTTTTTAATTCTTTTTTTTTTTAACCCTAACCCTCAAAGATGATAATATTAGGAGGTGGGTCTTTGGTTTTTGTTTGTTTGTTTTTATATGTTTTTGTGTTTGGGTTTTTTTTTTTCGGTGGGGAGGTAATTAGGTTTAACTGAGCTGTATCCTCCCCCTGATGGTGGTTTTCTAACAATGAAAAAAATCAATGAATGAATGATGTGAATGGGATAAAGGGAACAAGACTTCTTGGTTTATAAAAGGCAATATAAATTTCTGGGGGGTTTGGGTTTTTTTAATGAAGTATAGTTGATTTATAATATTATATTAGTTTTAGGTGTACAATATAGTGTTCCAGTGCTTTTTCAGTTTATACTCCAAAGATAACAGCTATAATTCCCTGTGCTGTACAGTATATCCTTGTTGCTTTCTGTTTTATGCATAGTAGTTTGTATCTCTTAATCCCAAACCCCTAACTTGCCCCGCTCCTAATCTGTCTCCCCACTGGGAACCACTGGTTCGTTTTCCGTATCTGTGAGTCTGTGTCTTTTTTGATATATATGTTCATTTGTATTATTTTTAGATTCCACATATAAGTGGTATCATACAGTATTTGTCTTACTTCACTATGCATAATACTCTCCAGGTCCATCCTGCAAATGGCAGAATTTCATTCTTTTTATGGCTGAGTAGTATTCTATTAGAAACATATACACCACATCTTCTTAATCCATTTATCTGTTGATGGACACTTACGTTGCTACCGTATCTTGGCTATTATAAATAGTGCTGCTGTGAACGTTGGGGTGCATGTATCTTTTCAAATTAGTGTTTTTTGTTTTGTAGCTGTACTGGGCTCTAGTATGATCATTAAGATTTTCTCTTAATCAAAGTAAGTTTCTCAATAAAAATGGAAAGAAATGCCTACCTAAACAGTCCAAGGTCATTAAACCCAGAAGAGAGGATGAAGGGGCATCTCTTTTAACTTGTACTAGACCGTGAGTTGTTTTGAGCTTTGAGTTTTGCTCCCATGCAGTTCAGTGGTTCTCAGCTCTGTTGGTCTCAGGACCCCTTTTATACTCATGATTATCGAGGACCCCAAGGGCTTATTTTTTGTGGGTTTCATATATTGATATTTATCATGTTAGAATTAAAACAGAAAATTTAAAATATTTATTTTAAAAGATCAATAGTAAACTTATGTATTATTGTAAATATATTTATAATAAAAAATCGTGAGAAGAGTGGCATTGCTTTACATTATTGCAAATCTTTTTAATGTCTTAGTTAAAAGACAGTGGAATTCTCATATCTGCTTCTGCATTCATTCTGTTGCCATATGTTGTTTTGGTTGAGGTACATGAAGAAAACCCAGCCTCACACAGAAATGTGGTTGGAAAAGGGAGGAGTATTTTAATAGCCTCTTCAGAAAACTGTGGGTAGTCTTCTCGACAAGTGGTAGTTTTTTAAAGGTTAGTTGCAGTGTGCAATCTGAAACCATAATAATGAATTTTCATTGTCTACTTAATAGAGTCTGCTCTATTACATTAAAACCCATCACTCTGTTTTGCACTTTGAGTGCACAATTTTATAGCATCACTTATTGGTCACTTAGAAAACATCAAGCCAATGATTGATGCAGATCGTCCAAAGGTAGCCCATTTCATGCCACAATATCCAAAAAGCAAAATCACGTTTGTTAATAACACTACCAGTCTCTCCTGGAGACGCCTCTAAGTATTGGAAAGCTGTCAGGCTCATTGTGGCTTCTCCAAAATTCTAATTTTCACTTGAAAACGCGAATGTTATCACTGGCAACAAGTCTGGTCAGTTGTTTTCCTTGAAGTGACAGACTCACTTTGTTCAGTTGGAAAAATATCTGCCAGGTACCCAGGTCTGAGTAACCACAGTTCTTCAGTTTCTCAATGTTTCACTTAAAAAAGGCAACTCAGTCCTCAAGAGCCTTACCTCAAGAACGCTGTCGTCAGTCAGCATCCCACGGAAGTGTTGTATGTAGACTTCTTGTTTCATCATGCAGAACATTAAAAAGACATGTATCCAAGGGTTGAGATTTAATAAGATGAATAAATATTGCTGTGCTATCAAGGACACTTTTAGGTGAAACTGGCTTTTGCGCCTGGAGCAGAAGTCTGGGATGATTGGCCACGGCCATGATGTGAGCTCGGGGGCTGGGGTTTCCCAGTGTGCTGACAGTGACAAGTACAGGCAGCAGTGGGTGGAAAGCAGATGATGCCCCAGCATTGCTATGAAACAGTTGACTGTGTAGGCTCCCTGAAAAGGTTGCCGGGACGCTCGGGCGTCCTCTAACCACACTAGGAGACCGCTAGTGTAGCTCCCAGGTACGCTGGTCTTGCAAGGCACTGATCCACAGGTCCTTAGGAATGCTAAGTGACAGACGCGGGCTGCTGAGTGTCACAGGGTTTATGACCGTCACCTCATCCCCACATCTGGTCCCAATCCTAGCCCACAGATCATTCCCTGGAGGGAAAGTTTTCTTAACCACCCACTTCCCAGCAGGAGAATAATAAACCATTACCACTTTTCTTTTAAATGTTTGTTGTTTGGGAAAAAAAAGTAGAAGTACCAAGTAATACCAAGTAGTACCAAGTAGTCGGTATTCTTTGCCCCTCCCGTGTGTGTGTGTGTGTGTGTGTGTGTGCGCGCGCGCGCACGTCCTCCCAGACATGGAGGTCTACAGACCTGAAAATACCATGAAAAACACCAACCAGCATGTCAAGGCAGTTTAGTGTAGACTAAGTTTTCATTATATTATTTGCAACTTAAACATGAAGGAGTTGAGATCAAGCCATACTTCAATTTTAAAAAAATGAAAATTTAAAAAAAATTGAGGGGGGAGGGTATAGCTCAGGGGTAGAGCGCATGCTTAGCGTGCACGTGGTCCTGGGTTCCATCCCCAGTACCTCCAATAAATAAATAAAAATAAATAAATAACACCCCCTGCCACCAATCCCAAATACACACACACACACACACACACACACAAATGAGTTGAAAGCATTCTTGCTTCAGGCCTGCCTTAGTTCCTCCAGACACTGCCTGCTTTCTTCAGGTGAAGGGAGACTTGAGTGGTGAGCGACAAGCTTCACGTTTCCCGTAGCCAGTGTTCCACATGTAGGACTAAATCATTCAGCCGAGAGGTGTCAGAAGGTGTAGACATCTTTCTTTATTATCTAGTCTATGGCCATAAACTACAATTAAAGAAAAACATCTTGGCCATCTACTCACATACACGGACACATGATTAAAACAGCTTTCTGGAAACAATAATTACCCTCAGCGACCTGCCGAGCAAAGTGGTATTTCTAGGACACTTCATTTTGAACGAAGGTAATTCCGACCCATTAAACTGCTTTCATGAGTCATGAATGGGTCACTGCTGACAGCTTTCAAAACACTGGCTTAGACTTGCCTTCTCACAGCCCGCCTTCTCCTCTTCCAGTTCCGGGGCTCGTGGGCAGTTTCCAGGGGCTGCTTCTCTTTCGTGCCATCGACTCTCCTTACTGCCCCCATGAGAGGCCCCTGTCTCCCCGCTGGAAGTCTCCTCCCTTCACCCAGCAAACACCAGCCTTTCGCGTCTGGCTCTGGGCACCACCTTCTCTTGCCCTCCTAGACTGATTTTCCCGAAGTGTAGGGTGAACCACCGTGCTGTGCGAGATGACTTGAGGCCATACGAGGATGAACATTTTAACAGCAATGTATTTGTGTATCGGGAAAAAATATTTAGAATCTCCAAACCTATGATTTCATGGAACTTTGCCTAAAGACTAGGTTTTTTAAAAAGTCAGTTTAAGTAACTGTATAGATTGTATGGGGCTATGACATAAAAAAATGGCACCTGACTAAAGTTTGGGAAGCACAGCTGATAAATCAAAAACCTCTGTCACCCCACCCTCTCCTCCTTTCCTGCAGAGAGCCACAAAGGTTACAGCTTCCCTGGTTACAGCCCAAAGGTGCACTCGGACAATCACCATCTGAAGTTTAATAGCTTTATCATAGCGTTTCCCATTTCTTCTTACCTCAAACAAGCTCATCCTGCCAATTTTCTGTGCTATTCTAGCCTCTTTTCTATTTATTCCCTAATCCACTGAAATACCAAGTCCAAACTATTTTTATCTCCGTGATACTTCTCAGCCTTGCTTCATTTCTACATTCATTGTAAAGACATGTGAGATATTCTCCCTGACTCCAGGCCCTCCCATATCCAACCGTTTCCGCTCCACACAGACATTAAGGTCTTTTTATATGGCCAAAAACAGTTCGAGGCAACTGCCATTCACTCCTTACAGCCTACGCATGAAATCTCATTGCATTCCCTTATCTTCCAGTGGTCTCTACCGATCTTTCTTTAACTTCTCTGCAAGGACACTGCACTCTCAGATAAAGGCCATCGGCCCTCTGTGTCCTGCAAGTGTCTTTACCTTCAGAGACTGCCCCCTGCCCTCGCCATGAGCTCAGATGCCCTCCTTCACAGTCTTGCTTCCTTCAAAATCTGCCTCGGTACATCTCTTTAGGAAGCCTTCCTCTCAAAGTACCTTAGCATTTGTATCCACTATGCAGTTGCTATCGTTTTTTTAATTTAAACTACTTTGTAAGTGTTACATATGCAGAAATGTAGTTTCC